AGTTCAGAAGATTTCCTCTTATCCCTACTTCGGACAACTTTTGATCGAGGCGCTTATGTGGGACGCAATCAAACGCCTTGCTGAAGTCGAGGTAAATGACATCTACTGGATGTCCTTCATCCATGGCCTTGGACCAATGTTCTAGTGACGTGAGCAGGATTGTGAGACAGGACCTCATTTCGCTGAAGCCATGTTGAACTGAAGTGATATGACAGCGGAATGTATCGACTGATGTAATTGATTTTTTAACTAACATTTCCATAAGTTTGTAGCAAATGTATGTCAGACTCACCGGTCAGTAATTGGTGGGACATGGTCGTGATCCTCCCTTGTGGATAGGTACGATGTTTGCCAACTTCCATGTGTCAGGTAGTTTGCTAGCTTCCAGCGATTTTTGGAGGATTATAGAAAGTGGTTTGTTTCCGGTTGGATGTTTCTTGAGGGGACAGTATCGTTCAATCAGGTCTCTCATAGTTGATTCGAAGGTTGTCCAGCATTCGTTGACGTCTCCTCGTAATGCTTCCGTCCATAGTGTGTGACCAATCTCTGATTTCATTGCCTCAAAGTTACCCCGCCTGACATTTCCTAACGACTTTGAGCTTCGTTCGGCGACAGCTACGAGTGTCGACTCCCACATTAATGTCATGTGATCACAAGAAGCGAGGGGTGGGCCTACATTTATTTCACCAACGCCTTCCTCGTTCTTGGTAAACAGTAGGTCTAGGCAACTAGCCCTCTGACCTTCACGCATCCGAGTCACAGTTCGTACATGTTGAAACAGAAATTCACCAAATGCCATGTCTAATGGCATTTGGTCGAATCCTTGTCTGTGGCCCTTAACTGTCATAAGGTCCCAGTTAATCCGCGGAGCATTGAAATCTCTTACAACAATAATGTTTTTCTTTCGACTGTCCTCGCGGAGTCGAGCGATTAACGCTTGGTCTTCGTCGGCAGGTTGATTGGGAGGCCTATATACAACGGCGACAGTAACGTTTTCGGCTTTTGGGACCAGCAAATGACACAGCAGCATCTCCAGATCATGCGCATTCACACATTTTTCAACAGGGTTATATTCGACCGCATTGCTGATATATAGGGCAACTCCGCCACCTCGCTTTTCGGTTCGGTCTCGTCTTAGCACTTGATAACCATCAAACTGTATTTGGGGGTCTGTGACATCTGGGGTGAGCCACGTTTCAGTTAATGCTATAACATCAGGACATAGTTCGGCCACAATTATTTTACGTTCGTCGAGTTTGTTCAACAGGCTTTGTAGATTTCCGTAGAAGGACTTAATTTTATGTAGGTTATTGCTTCGAATTAGTTGCCCTGACGTGTGGCCTTCGTCCAGTATGACAGACGTCCTCCACAGGAGGGGTTTGTGTCGTCGAACAACCACTCCGTTCACTATTACTAGTCCCTTCTCTCCTTGTTCTTTCAAGGTCGCCAGCTCCGCCATCAGCGCCCTCCATTTCATTCTCTCTTGTACTGAGTAATCCGATTGAAAAAAAGACCTCTATGGCCAGGGATCCCCCCTAGTATTCGTTCAAGTAGAAGATCCCTCTGGAGTTTACTTTCTAAAATTATCTTTAAAGGTCTTGGTTTCCTCCCTTGAGAGCTCGCGCTATTTTTACTGTTTAGTCGGAAAAGTTTCAGAATCTTAATTGCTTCATTTTCTTTTATTATGCTACCCAGACACTCTTGCAAGATCATGATATCATCATTTATCCTGCATCTGGGGTTATTGTTGGTTGATTCACGAAGTCCATGGACGACTATGCATTGTAATCTGTCCACAGCACCTCCATTCGACGAATTTTGTTGGATAATTGGTCTGACCGATGATGAGGCTTCCCCAATGTGGGCTTCAACGCTAGTTGCATGAATATTCGTGCGAGTATGTACTTCTACCTCGAACCTCGTTTCAAACGACGCGCAAGAGGTGCTTTATTTCAACGGTTTTAGTAAGCACATAACACAGATTCTGTCTAGACGGACTCTGTGTTATGTGTATATATAAAGCTTTATATGCAACCCATCGAAAACACTGAAAATCTCAAGATATGCAGCGATGTGTCAAGGCGGATCTGAAATTCAGCGTATTCTAGAACAAACAAAACGTCCGAATTAGTTTTCTGGAAGGAAAGTCCTGGCAACATGTGCTCATATGGAAAATTTAATTTCCATGGCTTCCCCCCTTGGCGAATTCAAGCGAAATCCTCTTTGTCTTATTGAACCGCGTCTGAATTAACGGAAAAGCGTCACGATTTCTCGGGGAACCGTTTCGGAATCTGTACTCAGAATGTCGGTCCTTGGCAAACCGCCATATCTGACATTACACTAATTCATAGGGGATATTTAAATGTACAATTCGCTAAAAGACTATTTTCAAACGTTATTCTTCTTGTACTGTTTAATTTACTCGTTTTTGTATGGACAGCAATCCCGTACATCTAAAAGTGGATTTTACACGATTGCAACCATCTTTGAGTTTTTCGGAATTTTCCGCTTTTCTAAAAAATCCATATTTCTAAGCAATCTACCATTATCTTTGATTAATATAGAGCTAGGGTCCATACATTGATGCCGGTTTGCGAGTACTTAGCAGTCTTTCGAAAAGTTGGACAGCTTGCATCAGTTAGATCACATAGTTAACGCTATTTGCCCCGCAAAACACATTGTCTTCATCATACACACACCTGATGGTGGTGGTGGTGGTGGTGG